AAAGCAATTTGTCATTTGAGTAACGTAAAAAAGTCACAAAATGTTCATGTTTTTGTTGTAATCAAGAACAAAAAACACAAAGTATGTGCTATATCGTTGTATTCCAAATAGATTGACACGCAATTTTCAGAGACAATATGCTACTAGATCAGTATCTACCATCCGGGAGCTGCCAAATATATCACATTCTTCATAAGCCATTAGGAAGGTTATTTAATGCCATTTAATGCAGTTTTTTAATGCTTTTGATATCTTGACAAATAGGCGAGATATTGCCTGTAAACGATAACTTTGGACACCCAGTATTTGAATTATAGAGGCTATTGAAAAAAACAACTCATTATTTTTGTAGGAATATTCATTAATTATTCAGGTTATGTTTGTGATTACTTTAGGAGCTCGCAATGGGAAATTCTCGATCTTGTTACGTCCAGGATTTCCTTGGGTGCTCGCAGAAAGAAATGCCTATTCATTTCCTGTTATAAATAACCTCAAGGATTCGCAATAATGAGGAATATATCAAATCTGAGGCGAGATCTCCGCGATTTCTTTCGGACGACTCCAGAGAGTATTTCCCATGGTGACAGCCTATAGTGATCTTTGATACCTCGCAGAAGGATTTCGCATTTTGATCCTGAAGATAACTACTTAGAGATATCGCGGAGAGTACCGTGTTACCTGGGTTAGGTATATGAGGTTACGAGATACCAAACACATGCATTCAATAATTCAATTCGAAACACTATGTAGGTATAGATTGATACTTATACTCAATATCATCATGATTGGAGAATCTGTCATCTATCATTATCAATTGAGAATACTCCTGCCATCATAAATAACCACCAGGGAAAGAGAGGAGCACAATAATTCATCGAAATAAACAAACTAGTACGCGATCACCACTCACGAGAGTCAGCCATCTTAGTCACATTTAATATTGATCAGCTGATTGTTGATGTTGACGTTCCCAGAACTTCCACCAGGGGGACGAGTAGCGAACATGAAATTGGCCAGCAAAGGGCCAGATCTCGTAAGTATTCAATTAGTTCCAGACATCTTACCATCACAAGGCCATCACCGTATTTTCAACTGATGGTTACTTGGCATATGAAAATCATTGGCCCATTACCAATACCCCGGCATCGTCACTTTCCCAGACAAGCCTGCACTAGGCCGGACTTCTCCCGCTAGTTCAATGTTCGCTGGGGTACCATCAGCAATAAGATCCCGTGTTGTTAGGGTAATAAGGATAAATATACCACCTATTACCGATAGCACAATTGCGTTATTGTGCCAGGCAAGTACTAAACAATGCAATTATTTATTCACATCAAATAGAGATCTTTATTCAGCAAGATGATTTTATTTATTTTAGCAAATGAACTGCTTTGGCGCCTATTTATGCAGATATTTTGCTGTGATAATGCAATTTTTTTAACTACTAATATTGAAAATTCTCTCAGTGTACCATTGATGTTCATTTTATGGATATTTGTGGAAATGTCTGAGCTGACACATCGCATGCATTTGTTTTTATATCTGACTCCCATAGAGGGCGCTATAGTTGCAGCGGTTCGTATACCGAGTAGTTTAGAACATAACTTTTTCGAGGTTATATTTTTCGATCCAAATATGATATATATGAGCTCGAACATCATTCAATTTTACACCAAAAAGGTACTCTTGGTGACACTCGATACTATGTTCCGTTTTCGTAATATTTCGATTTGAAAATAATGGAGTAATAGCTGATGCTCGTATAAAATGAATTTTATTGAGTTCAATCACCTTTTTATTCAGATTCAAAAACGATAACATTATTCTTGTGCTGAAGTTCTGTTATTGATGGGACAAAGAATCATAAGTAGAAAATTGAGAGATATTTGACTGGAAACATGAAATATTGAATAGTTATTAGAATAAGTGTTCAAAATGTCCTACGTTTCGAAGAAAAAACGATTCTATATTCTTTTCTTAAGAATGTATTAGGTATTCTTCTCAACAGTTGAGGATTTAGGTTATTTTAGTGATGTACGCGATCATGTATTAAAACTCTTGACGTGAATTCACCTATGTAGCATAGACTTTTTGTTCATGATACAACAAAATTGTGTAATCCATGTTCTTAGTCAAATCTGTTTCGATGTTATTCTTGTGATTCATTGTTAAATCAATGAGTTCAGCATCAGAAATGTATTGTTGTTTTCGGTTTTCAATAAATAGCTGATAATTTTTCATCACACCCACTCTAATACATAGACCAGCAACAGTTATCACTTCATCATTTTCGAATCGAAATATTCGGAAGATGGAACACGTCAATATCGAGTTTTACCAGGAGTACTTTTTTGGTGTGGAATTAAATGATGTTCAAGTTCACATCAAATTTGGATTGAAAAATCTAACCGCAAACGAGTTATGCTGTTTTAAACTACTCGGTATACGAACCGTGCAACTAGCGCCCTCTATGAGAGTCAGATATTAAAACAAATGCATGCGATGTGTCAGATTCCAAGAAACATCCATACAAAATTTCACAACAATGTGTCATTATAATTTCGACATAATTTTGAAAAATGTGTAGAAAAATAATTTTTTCAACACCTTGTATCTTGATAACGGATGCCGTTACGAAATTTTTTTACTGAGTAAATCCAACTCATTTTGCAGTGTTCTACCTACCCTAGTAAGGAGGTCAGGGTTTTTTTGAAACACCCTGTATATTCGTAGTTGAACAAATCAGATGATTTGCCCCAAAATGTCACTGCGTTCAACAAATTTCTCTATCAGGGAGTGTAAAAGAAAAATCTAGTAGCTTGTCAGTGACAATATGTTTGAAAATCTCGAAGGAAAGAAATATAGATACATTGAAAAAACATCGAATTTTCTCTCATCCTTTTTTCTTCAATATACCTATCTATATTTCTTTCCTTCAAACATTTTTTAATCAAATCATCACTGACAAGCTACTGGATTTTTCTTTTAGGCTCTCCGATAGAAAAATTTGTTAAACGCAGTGACATTTTGGGGCAAATCATCTGATTTGTCCCACTACAAATATACCGGGTGACTCAGGAGACATGTAGCAGCCTGTAGTTTTTTTTATTTGAAGAAATAAAATTTTGAAATTCACAGGGGGTATATACCTAAGTAATAAAATGGTAGCGCACTTTACGAACTTAACGGCAATTTTTTTCAACCACCTGTTTGACCGGAAGTGACCACAACTTTTTTTTCAACAACAACAACATATCGACTTTTTCGTTTCGTGGATACAATTTCCGTCTTTATTGATAATATGCAATTTTAATCAACACACAAATGAAGAAGTAAAATTATTGAGGCAATCGATTAACTGTCAAACACATAAAACATTTTGTGTAGGTATACACCGCCTACTAAGTGAAATGATTATAAAAAAATTGATAGACTGATAGCCCTGTGGATCATCGTATATGAGGAACAATTTCAGTTTCATTATTCCAAATGGGACGATCATGTATGATAGGTACATGGCGAAAATAAAAGACAGATTGTTTCTGTACGAGTAGCTGAATTCGAAAAAATATGTTCCTATCTTAGATTCCTCAATATCATGAGTTATTTTCGGAGGTTTTCATCTTGACTCAAACAAGCTATTGACAACCTGCAGACATTGATCAGAATATAAAAACATTTTGAATAATATCGGTTTACTAATGATCTTTAGATTTCAAAGCCTACGACCAAGTGTCGATATATCATCGAATTCATGTCACAGCCAACTTATTCTTTTTGAATAAAAAGCAATTCGACAGCGAATTGAGAAATAAATGCCACTGTGTGATACATGGTTGGATAGAGAATTTCAAGGCGAAATAGATATACTGAAGAAATGTACAGGGTGACATTTGAAAAAAAAAGTTGGGGTCACTTCCGGTCAAACAGGTGGTTGAAAAACATTGTCGTTAAGTTTGTATGGTGCGCTACCATTTATTATATACGCCCTGTGAATTTCAAAATTTTATCTCTCCAAATAAAAAAACTACACGCTGCTACATGTCTCCTGTGTCACCCGGTATTGAAATAATAGACATATTTTTATTTTATAGAAACGAGGAGAGGAAATCCCAAAACATCAAGTGAAATGAATGTACCACCTCCTCGATTAACCTATACAGACAGTATTTGATTATACAGTTCTGATCACTGTGGGATTAGAAGTGCCACTTCAGCTCCTGAAATGTGAGATTTGAAGTCCCCGTACCTCTCCCCTGAAGTGCATAAAGTATACCTACATTCAATAGGTACGTATTTCCCCATATTCATAATTTCATTTGAATATAATATTTTCAGGTCATAACCCTGTTTCATAATATAGGTATATCGGTTACTGCCTGAATATCTATATTACCATTTTGAATAATATACTTATGCTGATGATGAGTTCATGAATTTTGATGCCTTGTTCCAATTCATCAAGTTCGAATAGATAGCAACGGTTTTCTGATCTACAGTTATCTTTATTATACAGGGTAGGGTGTCTCTGGTTCAACTCGTCTAACTTTGACAATCAATAGCAAAAATTTAAATATTATAAGTACACGTAGTTTTTTGTTTTGTCGTGGAGAATAGTTATTTACGATATAGGTGCCAAAAGTGACATCTTATTTTGTGAGAAGGTGAGTTTGGGACACGACGCCGAAGGCGGAGTTCCATCCCTTCGAACAAAAGAAAAATAACACTTTTAGCACATATATCATGCACTATTTTTTCTACAAACACCATTAAAAGTCCAAATTAACGCATAACTATTTTACATTACTTATTAATTGATTAAATAACAGCCTCGAGATTATCAGTTTTGAATCCAATTCAATTTAATCTATTCATGAAACAAGTTACCAAGGTAAACAGAAACTGAATTTGTGGATTTATCTTTCTTGACAACTAACGTCAATAAATCACGAATTATTCTTTCTCGTTTCTTCGTTCCTTGATGGAAAGTGCCTAAGAAAATGAATTTCTTCCGCCGCACATTGAAGAAGCTGCCAATTTTAGAATTATTGTCTAGTAAGTCAAAGCGACAGTACGAGTTTTCATACGAACGTTTCTTGAAATGGTGTGATCAGAAAAATGTCAGTGGAAAGGAGGCCAGTGAAAAAGTGCTTCTTGCATACTTCGAAGAAAAGTCCAAAATATGGAAATCGTCAACGCTTTGGTCGAATTACTCTATGTTGAAGTCGATGATGAACAGAAATGATCATGACATAAGCAGATATCACAAGCTTGTGGCTTTTTTGAAGCGAAAGGGTGAAGTATATCGACCGAAAAAGTCAAAAGTATTGACAAGAGAACAAATCGACAAATTTCTCGCAGAAGCCCCAGATGAAATATATCTAATGCAGAAAGTTGCTGCGATTTTTGGTGTTTTTGGAGCCTGTCGTCGAGAAGAACTGTGCGATTTGACAATAAATAATATCGAGGATTCCGGAACTTCACTAGTTGTGCATATACCAGACACAAAAATTAATGTACAACGCACCTTTGTTGTAAGTGGTACATTGTATATGAACTACTACAAAAAGTACATAGCCCTTTGTCCAGTGGATATTAATCAGTCTAGAGTTTTTATAAAATGCATTAAATGTGCCAGGACTCCAGTTGGAATCAACACATTTGGTAAGATATGCCTGCCAAAATTTCCGGATTTCTTAATTAGCCTGATTCCCATCTATATACTGGACATTGTTTTCGACGTTCCTCAGCTAGTTTGTTGGCGGACTCTGGTGCTAGTCTTACTACAATTAAAAAACATGGTGGATGGAAGTCCAGTACAGTAGCAGAGGGTAATATAGGAGACTCGCTACAAAGGAAACAGACCATTGCAGATCAAATTTTGTCGAAAACTTCGGCAGATAATATTGCTCTCTGCCCTGGTAGGTACAATAAGCTTCACGAAAATAAATTCTCTCACATCTACCAATGATGAGACTGGCCATGGAGTTTCGTATTATAGTTGTAGTTCCGCTAATTGTACTTTCAATTGAATAAACACTTTTTGAATTATGTTCACATATTTTCTCATAAAAATAAATCACTTTCCCTAATAACACACTTATGTCTCATGGATATCCTTAGGACGTCCTGTCGGGACATTCAGGACGTCCATAGGACGTTCAAATTTGGTACCTAAATCCTACAGTATTCCTCATCAAGCACTACAGAGGACATCCTTTGGACATCCATTGGACAACCTATCAGCAACGCTGAGGGATATCAATTGGATGTCCCAGGGATGTACGAATTATTCTTGAATTTGAATTTTTCTGGGTCCCTCTAGAACCAGATCTTGCATAACTGATTAGGACATCCACTTCAGTTGATGGTCCGTAGAAGGTCCTCAAAAGTTTCCCAAGTATGTCCAATGGACAAACGTGAAGGACATTAACAAGGAGTACGCATAGTCTACGAGCAATCATTCGTCGGCGAGGTGCAAGTTAACGTCCTCGCAGGGACAACATATTGAAAGTACCGACTGGGACGTCCATAGGACGTTATTTCTAGGACATTGAAAGAGTACAGTTCATGTACCAATCAGGACATCCGACGGATATTCCTAATGGATATTCGAAGAATGTCCCTAAGGGACATTTCCATTGTTATACGATCCTGGAAATATCAAGGGCGTCTGTGCAGAGATATTTGAAGGGATGTACCATCAGGGACATTTCATGGTTGTCTTAAAGGGGCATTATATATAAGATCTGAAGTCATGCCAGAATATGAACTACTCGGGACATCCGATGGATGTCCATAAAGGAACTTTTAAAATCATATCCCAACAGGGACATGCCGAGGACGTCCTTGCATGGACATCCTATGATATGTACCACGTGGGACGCTATTTCTAGGACATTTGAAATGATGTACCAGTTGGGACATCCCGTGGACGTCCTTGCTCGGACATTGCATGAGATGTACGGGATGGGACGTTCCAAGGATACTTATTTTTGGTTCGGGACATTCGGACGTGAATGATGGTACCAAATAGGGACGTCCTCAAGACGTTGTGTGCTATCAGGGTTACTACTAGTGCTAAAAGTGATTTACTTTTAACACCAGTGTCATAAACTGACATTTTAGACACTGACAGCATGCGTCAAAAATTATACTTTTACTGACGTTTGTAGAAAAACTTTTCCATGTGGGACTATAATGAGAACGAAGGTAGCTCTCCGAACTTTTACCTGCAATTTCCTACGACATAGTTTCAATGCTTGAATGATCATCTGAATTATTATTCATAAAATTGTATAGATAACGCTCTAAAATATATCTTCTATGAATGTAGACACCTCATTCCCGACTCAACTTCCATATCGATCATCATGTTACTAAAATGTTGTTTGATATTTTTCCTAATATTTATTTCGGGCAACACAACCATCACTCATCAATATTATAGTGAAGAAGATTTTATTCGCATGGTTCGTGATAATATTACGGCAGCCAATGCATATGTTTTACCACAAGATAATAGTATCTTGATTGGTGATTTGAGAAACGAGAGATGCATTCATGGTGAGTGGAAACTCTTTTGAAAATTTCACACCCATCATTTTTGACCAATCAAACGTCTGTGTTTCATTCAAATCAAATTACAGTTACATTTAACTTCGAATTATTTGCTTGTGAGAAAATATATTTCTACCAACTTTATATAGCCAAACGAGTTCGTAAATAATTCGAGAGATTGAGTTACTATATCGATATATTTTTTATTATTTCATCCAACTGAAGACGTTCAATTATGTTTTTACGCCTGCGTGAGTAAAAGTTAGTTTCTCTGGTAACGAAAGAGAAGCAGAAGTCTCGTATAATTCCCTAGGGAGATAATATGACATATTTTCTCCCTAGGGAGTTTATACCATGCAACTCTACATTTTCCGCATAGATCTGCGCTTTCTTTTCGGAACACCCTTCTCAGCAAGTTAAGAATCACTGCAGAAGCAGTATCAATAGTTTCTTGGGGTTTTTCCTCAATTTCTTGTTCCATAACCGTTAACCATTTTCAAAGCTGTTTTCATAAATTTCGGTTTGATATTTGCTGTCACCATGGGTTGTCAACAAAATGCATGTTGTCAAGATGCGAATTCCACAAACTATACTACTACTAAAAACTGTCTGTGAGTTAATCAAGGTGGTGGTATTCATGATTCCAGATTCTTCTTTGGGATTTTCTCTCCTCATCTCTATAAAATAAAAATATAAATACTATTTCAGTATACGTATAGTTAGGACAAATCAGATGATTTTCCCCACAGAATGTCACTGCGTTTGAAGAATTGTTCTATCAGAGACCCTGAAAGAAAAATTCACTAGCTTATTATTGTCAGTGACAATTTGTATTAAAAAAGTTTGGAGAAGAGGAATAAAGGTATATAGAGAAAAATCGAATTTTTACTTATCTTTGGACGTTTCGGGAACGAATCTGCTAATTCAGAATTATTGGTTTCGAGAAAATCGACTTTGAAAATTTTGACTTCTTAGTGATGATGAATTTGTTTCTGGCTGGTGAAAAGTATATTCAGTTCATATTATATTATTATCTCATAAGCTTGCATGGAAAGTTATTAGTTACAATATTTCCGAATATTTTTTTCCAATTTTTCAAGAGAAAGTTTCGAGATGTTACAGTTTTGATTCATCAGATCCGACAATTTTTAGGATGTCACGACTGACAAGCAGCAATTTTCTGAGATAATACATCTGAAAAAATTGCTGTATAACATGTATTATAGGTATTTTTCTTCATTTGTAGACCCCATTATATTTATGACTGGAATGAGATATGTGCTCTGAGTTCCTATCATTTCAGCAAAATCCAAATCATGCCCTCCGGTTGATGAATATTCCTCTTTCCTCAGTTTTTCTATTTTCTTTAGTTAATGAATAGGAACAAACGGGTATTTGCAAAAGACAAGTTTTGAGATGAATAGCAATAAGCTTCATTGAAAATTTGCATAAAGTTGGAATGCCATAGTTTGGGAAGATAAGTGACTATAAGCACGAATAAGGTATAGGTAAATTTTCTGAAAGAAGAAAATACCTATGATGAATGAAATTTGAATTCAAATATATTCTTGGGAATTCTTTCAAACACACATTTTTCATATGTTCAATCCGAAGGAATTATAATATAATTTTCGAAATTGGAATTTAAACATAAGGTGGAGCTTGATATTTCAGGCAAAGAGAAATATTGAAATTACATATATATTCGAGTGTTTTATTCTATTATTTTTTTTCGATGGCTATCTTCTTGTTGCAATTATTTCAATCTTTCTATCTACAAAAGCTCGTATTACCTCCATTTCATCAAGTGCAACGCCTGCAATAATGTGACAAATCGAAATATTCTATATTGTTAACATTACAACTCAAAAGTTCGTTGCATTCAATTCATTATTTCATTTAATAATGAAAATGTAATAACGAGACAACCCAAAAAATTCCAAACTGTGTTTGATCAATGAGGTGACTTAATGACTTTTGTCACAATATTTATCATAAAAATTTCCTCAAAGTCAGAATACTAGAAGTATCCTCTGCAAAGTTTAGGTGACAACGCAAAAAGTCACTTATTACTTGCACTTATTACTTGCTCGGCTGTAGTATACCTACTTCTCCTCTAGTGCAATAACGTGACCAGCAATGTCACGCAGCAGCTATTGGACCTTGAAATGTCACGATATTCTAGAAGTTTAGGGATCGAAATTTGCTATCCAACGGTGGTTCTTAGTCAAAAATCAACTTTTTTGAGTTGTCACACCATTGTTCTCAAAGTGCGACATTTCATGCATTCTCCAAACACCAGTAATTGTCACAATATTTATCATGAAAATGCCCTCAAAGTCAGAATATTAGGCGTATCCTGCGAAGTTTAGGTGACAACGCAAAAAGTCACTTTCTTGCTCGACTGTAGTACCTACTCCTCCTCTAGTGCAAGAACGTGACCAGCGATGTCACGCAGCAGCTATTGGACCTTGAGATGTCTCAAAATCTTAGAAGTGTTGGGCTCAGAATTTTCTATCCGACGGTGGTTCTAACTCAAAAATAAACTTTTTTGAGTTGTCACAATTATTCTCAACGTGCGACATGTCATGCATTCTACAATCACCAGTAACATGTCTACTTTTTCATCATCGCTAAATTGAACCATAATACAGGGTGTTCATTTCAGGACTCCCCACCCTAATTTTCTCGAAATGTGTGTATGTTTTTGAAAAATCCCGAGACACGTCAACTACATTTTCGAGGGGGACATGGTTCTAAAATATTTACAGCCCCGCGGCGTTGCCGCTTCTAACGAAAAGAAGCAACAACTTTGTTATTTCAAATGGAACACCCTGTATTTTATTGCATTTTTAAATTCTCCCTGAAAAGCTAATTTCATCAATGTATCACACTTGGGGTCTAGCAGGAATGATTACAGAGATTTAGGGTGTTCAAAATCGAGATTTTACAACTTTCGGATTTTTTTTGAGTGGAAACTATTCATTATTGGTCAAAACGGCTCATATGTCCCCATCTCAACTTTTGATTTACTATCTACTGACATTTATTTGAAACAAATACAGGGTGGTTCAAGATTCAGACTTTTGATCACCCTGTATCTGTATCAAATAAATGTCAGTAGATAGTAAATCAAAAGTTGAGATAGGGACATAAAAGCCGTTTCGACCAATAATGAATAGTTTCGACTCAAAAAAATCCTAAAGTTGTAAAATCTCGATTTTGAACACCCTATATCTCTGTAATCATTCCTGCTAGACCCCAAGTGTGATACATTGATGAAATCAGCTTTTCAGGGAGAATCTAAAAATGCAATGAAATACAGGGTGTTCCATTTGAAATAACAAAGTTGTTGCTTCTTTTCGTTAGAAGCGGCAACGCCGCGGGGCTGAAAATATTTTAGAACCATGTCCCCCTCGAAAATGTAGTTGATGTGTCTCGGGATTTTTCAAAAACATACACACATTTCGAGAAAATTAGGGTGGGAAGTCCTGAAATGAACACCCTGTATATTTATTGTTAGATTTGATGAAACCGAACAAAGTCGGATATTTCCTGTTACAAAATATGACAATATCTCACACATTAATGACGGCATCTGTCGATTGTGAGCAATTGCGATAAAAAATGGTTGCAAAGTAGGTATCTAATATTCATTGCATTCTTTCAAAAATCATCGCATTTTTCGTCAATCAAAAAACATTTACTATAAACCGGTTTAACTCAGAATTGAGTGAATTGAATAAGTTCGAGTAAATAACAAGAAAGTTTATGAATAACATGAACTGTTGATTTCGCGTAATTTCGAAGCCTATGCAATCGATTTATATTTTCGGCGCGTCGCGACGCTCTGCTCTCAGTAGGCTTTGAATTTTCTGAACTTCGAAAAAATCGACTGCATTCCATCCATTCGCTACTTTTTACAGAAATTGAATATTCCTATTCATTGTCGAGATATTGGCGTGCGGCGTCAAGTAAAAAACCCTGTATATTGATTTCATTACTGTGGGCAGAATCCCAACGTCACACAAAATGACGCGTTTCGTTACTGGTAAGCTCCGCTCAACCACCATTATTTTTTTGTTCAATAAATCAAAAAATGGTCAAATTCATATCCACACAATGCTCATATGATGAACAACAATGGTAGATTTCGGGAGAAAAACAACTACTTTCCTGGCTAATGCCACGCAGAACATATTGAATTACATCCTCCCAAAATCTATGCATCGACTCGTATACACGAATACTGATGCAAGTGATTCTTTCCTGAATGTCTATTGATTTCGATTTAGCCAGGCCACGCTAGACACCTACAGACCGGTTTCGAGCTCTTTGGCTTTCATCAGTGAAGGACAGTCTCCAGCTAGAGCAGTGTTAAGATCGCCGACTAAGCGTAATTAGCCAGGAAAGTAGTTGTTTTCCTCCCGAAATCTACCATTGTTGGTCATTTATGAACATTGTGTGGATATGACTTTGAGCTTTTTGTATCTATTCAACGTTTCATTCCACTTTGAGCATTGTGGCTTTTTCGTAATTGAAATTACGCCAGTCGGGCAACCAGCCACTGTATGAATTTCAGTTTTGGAGTATTTAGTTCCTTCGTTTCTACTCAGATGGCGTTGCTTTCATATTGTCTATGAAGGACACCTCTGGAGGAATATAATGCCGATTTGATTTTTGTTTGGCTAGGCTACGCTCAGTCGGCGGTCTAGCACTACTGGCTGAGACAGCCCTGCTTTAATAACAGCCAAATAGCTCGAAACTGGTCTTTAGGTGTCTAGCGTAGCCTGGATAATTCGAAATCAATATGCATTCAGGACAGATTCACTTGTTTCAGTATTCGTTTATACGAGTCGATGCATATAGATTTCGGAAGAATGTAATTCAATGTTCTGCGTCGCATTAGCTAGGAAAGTAGTTGTTTTTCTCCCGAAATCTACCATTGTTGGTCATTTTATGAACATTGAGTGCTTTGGTGCTTCTTGATTATTCGAAAGCATTTGATACCTTGAATCATTCCTTGTAAATATCTATATTACATTTCATTGGATTCTCTGAGAATGCGATCGAATTAATGAGGGATTATCTAACAAACAGATTTCAATTTGTAGAAACCAGCAAAGGTGTTTCAACGAAACAACTTTCAGTATGCGGAGTTCCTCAAGGTTCAATACTTGGTCCTCTTTTGTTTGGTATATACACATGTAATTTAACAACGTGCCTGATGCATTGTTCTGTTCATTTATGTGCAGACGACACACAATTATATTTGTCTTTTTTCTCAAGCGATAAACAACTACCTCAAGATGAAATTAACTCTGATTTAAAGCGATCAATCGCATTTTCAGATAACCATAATTTACAATTGAATGCATCAAAGTCATCAGTATTAATATTCGGTAGACAAAAGCAGTTGGTAGAATCGGTGTTTAGTGTTAAAATTCAAGATAATTCTTTGCAGTGCTCCAAAAGTTCAAGAAATCTCGGTCTCGAATTTGATACTCATTTACGTTTCAAGCCGCACGTTAATAAATGTATCCAACGGGCGTATGGTAGCTTGAAAATGTTGTACCCTAATCGCCATTTGTTGTCAGAGTCATTGAAAATAAAATTAACAGATTCACTGGTGCTGAGCCACTTTAATTACTGCGATGCTGTATATGGACCGTGTATAGATAAGAAAGATAGTGAAAGAATCCAGAAAGTTCAAAAATCGTGCTAAGATTCATCTATGGCATTCGCAAATATGGAAGTATCTCCTTCAAATTGAAGGAAACCCAGTGGTTGAGCATGGAAGAAAGACGAAAAATTCATGCAGTGAATTTATTCCATAATATTATATTCACCAAATGCCCTCCTTATTTATGTAATAAAATGAAATACAGAACTGATGTACATACATTGAATTTAAGATTCAAAAGTTATATTTCCCCCCCACCTCATCAAACACAGCATTTCCAACGATCATTCACTTATAATGTATTTAAATTATTTAATGAACTGCCATATGAAATGAAATCTTTGAAACCGGATACTTTTAAAAAATCATACAAGAATCTCGTCATGAAATACTGAACTATATACATGAAGTATTAACTGATTTTCTATCTTCAACAGCCAACTTAGTAACATTTACATTGCGGAAATATTTAATTTTTTTAAATTATATAATTCCAGGGGTTGAACTAGGATCAATTTTAATTGTTTTCAACCCCTTTTCACAACTAATATTGATTATCTGATTTATGAAATGTATTATGCATATTTATAGTTGTGAATAAATTATTATTAAATTATTATTATTTGACTACGAGCTTTTTGTATTTATTCAACATTTCATTCCACTATCTGAGCATTGTGACTAATTCGTAGTTGATTTTTTTGTTTTTCTAGACTATGGCACTTTCGACTTCATTATAGTTGGAGGCGGATCAGCTGGTACACTTTTGGCGAACAGACTCTCAGAAATAGCGGATTGGAAAATTCTTCTACTTGAAGCGGGTGGACCAGAAAACGATTTCTCTGATATTCCTGGACTGAACGCGTTTCTAATGTTCTCAGATATGAATTGGGGATACTATGGTAAACCCCAATCACAAGCTTGTCTTGGTGAGTACTATGGGTCACTTCTTTGTATTGAAAAATTTCTTTTTTCTGCAACCGACACAAAAGTCGTCCATTTTGATACCAAAATTAGCTCTTGAATTGACGTTTCTATTACGGACACAAAAATAGGTATGTTGATAGGCAACATATTTAGTTCCTAGGAGCTAGAGTTGAATTTCAGTTCCTAGGAGCTAAAGTTGAACTTTAGCTCCTAGGAACTGAAAAGGATCTACTGGAGAAGATGAATAAACAACATTGTGACGGTTGGTTATTTGGGTTGAGAGGCATACCTGATTTGTTCGCGATTTCAGCAGATTTGGCATTTCATACCCATGTTGGAGATATAAATACACCTTATTATAGTTCAGTTTTGGAATTATTAACATCTCAGTTAAGTCTTTTTGTTTTGATCAGGGAAGCCTTCAAGATTCAATTACTTGCTTGATCTGTATTTCATTGGTTATTCTTGGGATGGATAACTTTGTTTTTGGATAATCACGGCAAGCAATAGTTTTTTGTCTCAAACAACGATATTGTTAACCTTCATTTGATTATCAAGCGACAAACATTGTATTACGGAAAGGAAAGAATAATTGCTTTTCTTATTGTTGATGTGCTCATTAACCTAACATTTTCCAAGTCTTGATTCTATAGCTGGCACTGACGCGGTATTTGCCATTAGAGCACCTGGTCCATACACAAATATGTCACTCTGTGATTGTATTTATATTGAAACTACAATAATAATTCGAACATTCTTGAAAATTGAATGAACCTGCTGTTGATGCTGGTAGAATGTTTTCACCACACGGATTATTTTTCAAAGGAACAAAAAATGTTTTCTTGAAATGTATTTATAACAGTTTATTATCAAACCACTTTTTAATCAACAGAAGATCACTCTCAATTTTAGTTTTTGGGTCTGGCCATGTTTCAGCTTCGTAAAAAATGGCGGTATCATCAACAAAGCTGATAATGTCGCCTTCAGATTCAACTCGGAATGAATTATTTATATATATCATAAACAGTACTGGCCCCAAGACTGTTCCCTGAGGTACACCACATGAAATAATTTGTTTTTAACTATAGGATTCCTGTATGGGGTGTATGATGAATTGATATTCATCATACAGGGCGTGGAAAGAAATTCTGAATTGAGACTCTATCACGAATCTGCGATTAGAGGTCTATAAAAATCACAAGTTTTCATCGTTCAAGTTTGAACCCCCTGATTGGGTATGAAATTGTTGAAAAGGAATATTCTCAGATAAATTATGAAGATACAAAAATGGATATATATTTATATAAAGCAATACATTGAGAATTCGCATTCTCTATGTGATGAGAATATTTACTCCTTTTCAGTTCATTCAAGAAGAATGTCAATCCTCAATTTCGGAGGATTTCATTCTTTATTTTTATGTTCTCCTTTTGAATGTTCATCAGATATAATTCAATGTTTGACGTGGCAAATAGCCAGGAAAGTAGTTGTTTTCTGTTGAATATTCAGAATGATATGTGCATATACATATTTTCGTCTGAAGGAGAATGCGAATTCTCTATTTCAGAAGTTTTTATATTTTATTTTCAAACTCTTATCGTGTGTGTCCAATAGATATAGAAAGTAGTTGTTTTCTATTGAATGAACTGAAAAAAAGTAAATATTCTCGTCACATAGAGAATGCGAATTCTCAATGTATTGCTTTATACAGGGTGTTTCATAATTGAATGCTGATCCTAAAGGGCGATGATCCTTGGATGATTTTAAGGAGAGAAGTTCATATCAACATATGTCTCGAACCTCTGAGTTTTTGAGCTACAGGGTGTTGAAATCAGAAGCGTACAGCGTTTTTTTAAACTAAACATTCGATATCAGGACTACGAGGACATCACTGGTTAAAGTAGAAGTTTGATTTTCGTCCCAAAACAAAATGTGTTTCCACTCATTGTGGGTTGTCTACTGAATTACCAAAAACAATATCCAAGAACTGAAGGAACAAAATTCTTTGGTTTTTATTTTTTTACGCGAAAACGGTACGTTGTATGAAAGTAAGTCTAGGAACCAAATTTGCTCCAAAATGAATAAGAATGGAAAAAAAAATCTGGTTCTCAGAAAAATCAGTGGCGTACTATTTTTTCTTCAAAAATTGTCAGTTCAAACCCCGTACGGACGCCACTGGTGAGAATTTTTAAATATCTTCCACGTATAAAAATGCTTCTTGATAATGAAAAGGTGTATACAAAATATCATAACAATATCTAAGAGTGATAAAAAATTATGATGAAAAACTCATTTTTTTCTTGAACCTTCCATCACCCTGTAGCTCAATAACTAAGAGGTTTAGGACATATGTTGATATGAACTTTTCTCTTTGAAATCATCCAAGGATTATCGCCCTTAAGGATCAGCATTCGATTATGAAACACCTTGTATAAATATATATCCATTTTTGTATGTTCATAATCCATCTGAGAATATTCCTTTTCAACAAAAGTATTCTCTTGCTATAAAATGTATGCATATACAGGCTGTCCGGAAATTATGCGCGAAAATCAAGACGGTGATTCTGTATTAGAAAACATGCAATTTATTTTATATACAGGGTGGGTCACGGTCGATGGCACCTTAGACGTTTACGGAGAACGGGACATAAGATCATTCTGAAAATTTGGTTATTCAAGTAATTGCTTATGATCTATCGATCTAAAATATTTTCAGCTCTGCGACGTTGCCGCTTCTATCGAAAAATAGCAACAACTTTGTTATTTTGAATGGAACACCCTGTATTTTATCGCATTTTCAGATTCTCTCTGGAGAGCTGATTTCATCGATGTATCATACTTGGGGTCTAGCGGAAATGATTACAGAGATATAGGGTGTGAAAAATCGACATTTTTCAACTTTAGGAATTTTTTTTGTCGAAACTATTCATTATTGGTCAAAACGGCTCACATGTCCCTATCCCAACTTTTGATCAACTATCTACTGACATTTAATTGAAACCAATACAGGGTGGTGCAGAATTCAGATTCTTGATCACCCGGTATATGTCCCAATTAAATATCAGTAGATAGTTAATCAAAAGTTGAGATAGGGACTACATGTCCAATCCTGAACTTGGAAAATCTCGATTTTGCACACCCTATATGTCAGTAACTTTCACTGCTAGACCCTAAGTATGATACGTCGTTGAAATCAGATCTTCAGGGAAAATTCGGAAATGAAATGAAATATAGGGTGTTCCAATGAAAAAAACATAGCTTTGATGTGCTGTGACCTTACGGAACACCCTGTGTATTTCAAAGAAATTTTGAAATGTGAAGCTCGACTATTACTTCAATTTTGATACATGACTTTTTTCTGTATCTCTCAAGACAACAGAGAAATCGAACTCTGGAGTCTTAGTTGGCCACCCTGTACATGTACGGACAAATGAATACATATATAAATAAATCATTGGCCGAACTATGCTAAAACACACTAAATCATCATTGCTCTGCAGAAACATCGCGAAAGTTTGAAATTTCATCTCAATTGACAGGTTATAAATTGTCACTCTTCATAAATTACTTTTTCCCTATGGGAAGAAATGAGTACTATTTTTCCGGATATATATCACATATATACAAACTGTTGATGGCTTCTGCTGTGCTTATAATTCTAAAAAAATTAGCCATATCTCCGAGAAAGAACTGAAGTCCTTTTATCTTTCATTCGACTTCGCGGTTACGTAAATTACTAAACAACGAGTGAAGTTCGCAATTTTTCAAAATAAAATCACAAAATCAGACTGACAGATAACCTGCTTCAGAAGAATGATACACTGAGAGAAACTGGATATTAAAAATATCTACCCAGCTCTGATTGTAATAACCATTATAAGGAAATTTCCTATTCCTGATCATTTTATTATTACAACAGTATTCTCTTTAATCTGTAATTATAAAAATCGATTTCTCAAATCATTTGTAAAACCCTTGAATGGACATTTGCTACCATCATAACGCAGGTGTGTTATGGCATTATGATAATTTTATAAATTCCAGTCTATTTAGATTTTTTTCCGTCGACCTCGTATTAACGACTAAGTTTAATGTATATGAAATCGTTTATTAATGACCCCTATTAATGAACGATTTGTCCATTAATGTACGATTGTTTTATAGGCAACCAAACAAACACCGCGTGCATTCATTGTTTATGCTATAACTTACGAAATCTGCATTTAAATCGAAAATATGGATTTCATTGAAGATTTTCTGTTAACGGGTTCACCTTTCCAAGTTTCTGACACGATTTTAATCCCTGTTTTATAACACAAGGAATTTATTTTCTATGTTGATCATTTCAACAAATGTCAAATGTCACTAATGTCAGTGACAAGGCTACTGGGTGATTCTTAGCAGTTTCCAGATGAATGATGGATTCGCGAACCAAGTTTTCTTCATTGCAGGAGAAATGAGAAATATAGTCGACGGAAAAATTTTGTAACCAACTTGTATATTAAAAGGCGATCTCGAACATTAACGCGCTCGCTTCGCTCGCACGTTAAAATATCTCGATCATTAATCGCCCTCATTAATAAACTAGTTGGTGAAATAACTATTATTGACATAGCTCGTTTTGTGAATTATGCTCATTGGTTAATTCAGATAATGTTTGTCCCAATAATCATAGCTGTTTGGGTTTCTAGCATTGTACGTTGACGAATAACTCTAGCAATTCACATGTATGGCAAATATTAGGCAATCATTCGACAATCGTAATTCGGCTCAAATCGCTCTAGTGTTTCATTAGTATTGGGACTGACAAAGATACAGATCGCGATCATTTCACTGCTGTTCTCGGTCATGGGTGCTCGTGTTCAATTATTGTTCAATGGTTTCGATCGTCCGAATCGATAAAGCCGTGTCTTATAGGTGAATGTCTGTGATGTAGCAAAGTTTTGTTATAGTGCTGGCTGTGAACCGATTTGTGGAATACACCGTGCATTGCATCATTGCAATGAAAAAAGTATTCTCCATACCCACTTTTCATGGCCTAAAATTGGTTTATTCCAAAAACAAAATGATCGATGGTATTCTGAATCAAAATATCTGGGTTTCTGTGAGGAAAGTTTTATTGACAATTCTCATCATAACTCCGAAGGAAGGGTAAATATAAGTATTCAACTTCTCATTTCTTAATAAATTCGTCAGTAATGCATATAGATGATATTTCTCCGAAAAAATCAATGAGTAATGTCAAAAAACTTCCACAGATACCCAAATATTTCAATTCAGAGACTAAACGTATTTTTTTGTTTTTTTGAAAACAATAACTTTTGATCATGAAAAGTGATACGTGTGGATAGGATATTTATTCATTGCAGTAATTCAAAGCACGGTTTCATAATGCATCATACCATCGGATAATGTTGATTAGATAACCTTATTACCACTGTTTGATGAATATACTAGAGTAGAAAAATATTGGGATAACTGTTGAAAATGAGCTATATTACAATAGCATGTCAAAATGTCATGTTTCATGCAGATATCAGATAACTATAATAAAATAAGACGTATTACTGCGTTACCTCAAGATGGTTGTGCCAGTAATAAAAACATGCTGTTTTATGTCGATAGTCTAATAACCACTGTAGAGTGGGGAGTTACTGCAACATTTTATGGGAATAAACCCTATTCGACATTCTGTATTATCATAGAAACTAGAACAAGTAGTAGTTATTCAGCAGCGGTGTTTTTATACAAGTTTGCAAATTGAATAAGCTGCCATAACTACAAGTCACCTGAAAATTCACTTTATCTATGGTAGCAAATGAACATATCAGTCCCCTATTTATTGCAGATATCGTAATAACGGTTATCAGATTTCCAATTATGATAACTCAAGTTTTCTCTCAGTGTAAAGATGCCTGCAACGCAGGTGTCATTTCTGTTAAAAACTTCGAATTTCATGTCGATAATTTTCAGATTTTGATAGAATGTAATATCTTCCTAATATTGATTCGTCCTTTTTCCTGTCACAAAAAAATGGATATTATACACGAGAAAAATATTTAATTTTAGCTCACGGTTTTTTGTCTCACACAATCTGCAGCTGAATTCTACTACATTTTCACCTTGAATAATAAATAACCATTTTGGCTTAGCTGCTCCTAATATAGCTATCTCGCTTCAACACTTTTTACATTCACGGTGGTTTCGCTTATCAGGACAGTATTACCTACATTTAGCTACACCTTTCTTAATCAGCACCAGACATCTTAAAGACGTACATTTCACGACTTACTTACGTCTTTACGTCCAGGGACGTATAAAGTACGTCTTTAAGATGTAAATCCATGTACATTTTAAAGACGTCCACGAATTTACGTCTTTAAGACGTACATTTTAGGTCGTATCCACGTCGTTTCTCCCATGTCGTATAAAAGACGTCTTAAAGACGTACATTCCAGTACGTCAATTCGACTTATAGAACAATAATGTAAGTTATTTTCTGAAGAAAAACAAAATGTCATCTCTTCACGTTTTTTATTTTCAATTGTTCAGTTTTTTATTTTCAACAAAAGTGATGTTTTTGAATTTTTTCGTCCGACATTTTGGAGCCTTCGTGTTAGATTCTCGAATTTTTACAAAAAAATCATATTCTCCGACCCCAAAAGTCCCATAGTAATCAATTTTGAATAAAATCGGACTATAATCACAAAACTCGTCCGCCATTTTGAAGCCGACATCTCGGATTTTTCATTTTCTACAAAAGGAATTATAATCTCTGATCCCGAAATCCTTCAGATGCCAATTTTGAATCAGATCAGACCATAATCAGAAAACCATATGCCACATTGGATTCACCATCTTGAATATTGAATTTTGATTCGAATCGGAACAAAATCAATGAGAAAATCGTCCGCCATATTGGATCCGCCATTCTGTTTTTTCCATTCAATAATAATATCACAACGAATTGTCACCGGAATAATATTTACTTGCCAAATTTCAAATCAATCGGACGATTTAAAGTGAGTCAAATTTAACTTGCACGTTTTGATTACAAACAGACACAAGGACATGTTGAACTAAGTAAAAGCTTGTTATGTGAAATATAGAACAAACAGAGTAACAGAAGAAGTGAGTATGGTATAATCATCGAAGTCAAGCAAGAAAGAGCGCGGTTAGTACTTGAATGGGTGACCGCTTGTGTCTACCGTTTGATGAAGTCGTTTATTTCCCTTTTTTTGCTTGTCTGCACTTGTTGCTAACTTCAGTGCACAGGTGAAAATTAACTGAAACTATGTGATTTTTTCCGTAATTCGAAAGATCAATTTGAGGTCATGGACCAGAAACACCTAAAAAAGACGTCTTGAAGACGTACATATTAGTGGAAAATGTACGTTTGAAAGACGTCTTAAAGACGTCTCTTGGGCGTAATATGTACGTCTTTAAGACGTACTTATGTCCCGACATGTACGTCTTAAAGACGCCTTTAAGACGTACTTTGGTTGATTGGGTTACTTCACTTTCTTTCTAAAAAGCATATGATTTGGAATATTGCATTAATGTCATTTCATTGTATTTCAGGAATGAGGAACAATTCTTGTGTTGCTCCCAGAGGAAAGGTGCTTGGCGGATCCAGTGTGATAAATGCGAAACAGTTCGTGAGAGGAAACAAAGAAGATTTCAACTTATGGGAAGCGATGGGAAATGCTGGCTGGTCTTATAATGACGTTCTGCAATATTTCATTGAATTTGAGAACTATCACATCTATAACGCTGATCCTTTTTATCATGGGACAACCGGTCCATTAGATGTTGGTTATACAGAACCCACAATAATGACAGAAGCTTATATATATGCAATGAGAGAGTTGGGCTATCCATGGGTGGATTTCAATGGAGAAAATCAAATCGGATCATCACAGGCTATATTGACAATCAAAGGAAATAAAGCATCAACAGGAGGAAGAGCATTCATTGATCCAATAATTATGAGTAGACCCAATCTCAATGTAACTCTCAATGCCTTTGTGACGAGAGTATTAATCACCCATGGCACAAGAAGGGCAAATGGTGTAAGATTCATCAGAAATGGTGAAATATATGAAGCAAGAGCATCTAGGGAAGTAATTCTTTCAGCTGGGGCATACAATACCCCTCAGTTATTGATGTTATCAGGAATAGGACCAAGATCAGAACTAAGGAGACATAATATAAGTCTGATTGAAGATCTTCCTGTAGGACGAAACTTCCAAGATCACCCTATGTTCATTGGGCTAGTTTTCAAAACCAACCAAAGTTTATTCAACGAATCTTTTGAAGATATGATTTCGGGATATCTGAAGTCTCATCGACCACTTACGACCAGTTTCAATATCGACTCTCTTGGTTTCATAAATGTCAACGATAGTGAAAGCACTGTTCCAGATATTGAACATATGGTGATGGCACCTCCAGGTTGGAATTCACCCGCACTCATTAGTAGAGTCCAAAACCTGAATGAAGAAACGTTAGCTGCTTATTTCAGAGAATATAACCCACACACAGACCTCGTCTTCTTGACAGTTTTGCTTCATGAAAAATCCAGAGGATCAATCACTTTAAGGTCGAATGACCCTCGTGATTTCCCGATCATAGACTACAATTATTTAACTGATCGAAATGGATACGATATTGAAACATTTTACAATGGAATAGAACATACATTGAAGTTACTTGAAACCGATGCTTTCAAGGCAATCAATGCTTCAGTTATCTCTGTGGTAGCTGGGTGTGACGAACACCCACAGTTCTCTCGAGACTATTGGTATTGTGCTATTAGACAACTGATAACGACTGTTTATCATCCGGTAGGAACAACAAGAATGGGAAATTCTAGACACAATTCAGTGGTGTCCAACAAACTGATAGTTCATGGAATGGAAAATCTTAGAGTAGTTGATGCTGGTGTAATGCCAGAAATTCCTTCTGGAAATGTCCTTGCGGCGACGTACATGATTGCAGAAAAAATATCAAATGATATCAAACTTCATTATCGTCAATTATGATCAATTCATATAATATGATGAAAAATATCGTCGTTCTAATGGTAATATAATATTTTCATTCAATATATTTTCGAAATTCATAATTGATGGTTTCATTTCATCATCTTGCTGTAGATTCATGCTTGTCATGGGATCTACAGAGCTGAATCAAAAAACACAAAATACGTCTGGACACGTGATTCGCTAACTGAATATGTAACAGGTCTCAATCTCCTCCTGAAGATGTTTATTTAGTTAGCGAAACACGTGTCGAGACGTTTCCAAAATCGCTTTGGTTAGTTGCATGATATTATAAGTAGTAATTCAACTACTTCAAAACATTTCGATCGTGAAGCGATTATTTTTTTAGTCGTTCTGAACTAACATCAAAATTTGACGAATCGCTTCGTTTGTTTTTAATAATATGACTTGTTTACTATGAAAATGGGAATAATCATAGATTCCTGATTGTTCAAATATACGTCGATATACATGTATATTCGAAATTATACAAGGTAGCTTAGCTCAATTGAATGTTCTGATTAGTTTCAAATCATGCGGAGTAATCAATCAGTAGTAATACTATAAGTATACTGGGTGTCACGAGATTCATAGGTAACACGGAACTCTCAGCGATATCTCTGAGTAGTTATCTCCAGAATAAAGATGCGAAATCCTCCTGCGAGGTGCCAAAGATTACTATAGGCTGTCACCATAGCAAATACTCTATATGGAGTCGTCCGAAAAAAATCGCGGTGATTTGAAATATTTCCCATCATTGCGAATTCCTAAGGTTATCTCTAACTGGAAATGAATAAGCTTTTTTTTCTGCGAGAACTCAAGGATATTCTAGAGGTAATAAGAACAAACATTTTCCATTGAAATTTTCGGAGTGATCCCAAAAATGACCCGAATAATAAATGGATATTTATACAAAAATATTAAGTAGTTTTTTTATCCTACTTTGTGATTCATCAGTGAACCATTATATTCATTCGGCCTTACAATACCGGTTTTCCAAGTTATCGTGAACAAGTAGTATCTCGCTTTTTTTATCGCTTGGAGCGCACGAAAGGGAATCCCTATAATGTTCAAAGAACATCGTGCGTTCCTAGGGAGGATAGGGACAGAAGGTAGGTATTTGAATTTTTTCGAACTTCTGGAGATTATATGTTGTTTGGGATACTTCTACAGGCAATGAATTCCAGAGCCTAGCCGTTCTATGGATGAAGGAGTCATGATAAAGTGCTGTTCGACATCTTTCGAGGTTGACAACGAAAGGATGTGCTGACTGGGCATGTCTAGTTCGTCTGACTGGTATTGCTAGTGGAGGGATGATAGCAGAGATTTCCGAAGAACATTTCCCGTGGAAGTATCGATAGAAAAGTGAAAGGTCGCCGACCTTTCTACGGTGTTTCAATGATGTCAAAGAGTAAGTGATTGTGGCGTCACCCACCAGGCGAATGGCTCTTCTCTGGATGAAATCTAAGAGCATCAGCGTATGTTTTGGTGCTGAACCCCATATGAGGGAACAGTATTCTAGAACAGGCCGTATCTGCGCTTTGTAGATCATGAGAAGCTGCTGAGGTGTAAAGTAGCTTTTCGCACGAAACAAGAATCCGAGTTTTTGTGAAGCAGCTTTTGCGATGGATCTGACATGATTATTCCATGAAAGAGTGTTGCTGATGGAAAAACCGAGCATAGATATGGTGGGCTTGGTGGGGATGGTGGAGCCAGACATTACAATATCGGGCATACTGAGTTCCGTCTTTCTAGAGAAAATACAGGCTTGAGTTTTGGTGGCGTTGAATTCAACTAGGTTTCCCAGGCTGTGATTCCAGCAAGGTCTTTATTGACAGCATTGACCTGCCTGCGCCGTGAGTTCTTAGTTTCCTGGGAAGAAATGGGAATTCTGGAAGAAAGCGCAGTATAGAGGGTACTATCATCTGCAAAGCTGTGGATGGGGCAAGTTGTTACTCCCAACAGATCATTGATATGAAGAAGGAATAATGTTGGTGCCAAAATTGATCCTTGTGGAACGCCGGAATTGATGCCAATGGTATCAGACGATACACCGTCCACCACCACGTGAAGCGATCTGCCTGAAAGAAAACTCGATAAGAGATGGCATAGCTGAGGTGGTAAGCCGTATGATGGTAGTTTGTGGAGGAGTCCTTCGTGCCAAACACGGTCAAATGCTTTCGATATGTCCAACGCGACAGCTAGAGATTCCCCGTGTTTTTCTAATGGAGCTTGCCATTAATTGGTAACGTAGGCAAGTAGATCTCCAGTAGATCTTTGGTGGCGATAGCCATATTGTCTATCATTGATGATTCCTGAGCTCTCTAGATATTTGATAAGCTCAGTATTGATGGCTTTCTTCATTACTTCGGAGATTACTGAATTGAAACTCAATACATTGATCCAGAAGTTACGTAATTTTATCTTTGGCTCTGAAACAAATATCGAGTGAATTCAACTTCACCCCAAACAATATAGCTAGTGAGACTTCGCCGACAGGCAACTGCTGATAGCCAATGACTACCAAGAATTTAGCGATTTATCAGTGGCGATCTTATGACGATTGATGCGAATACCGCTCCTAATAAAGTCCTTGCTATAAGGCAATGTACACGGATTCTTGAACAACTCATAGTTGCGATCGCTTGAAGAGTTCGTCATTAGCAATTGATGCGAATTTCCTTAAGTCCTTGTCACAAGGCTATTTCAGCGAGTGTCTCACATAGCCCGTAGTCGCGAGCACTTGAAGACCTCGCCAGTAGTACCTAATTGATGCTAATCTCCTAATGTCCTCGTCTCAAGGCTATTTATAGTTATTTTTTTTTTATTTTATCGCTTGGAGCGCATAAAAGGGAATTCCTATAATGTTCAAAGAACATCGAGCGTTTCTAGGGAGGATAGGGATGGGAGGTAGGTATTGGTTTTTTTTAGAACTTCTGGAGATTATATGTTGTTGGGAATACTTCCTCAGGCAATGGATTCCAGAGCCTAGCCGTTCTATGGATGAAGGAGTTTTGATAAAGTGCTGTTCGACATCTTTCGAGGTTGACGACGAAAGGATGTGCTGACTGGGCTTGTGTTCGTCTGACTTGTATTGCTAGTGAAGGGGTGATAGCAGAGATTTCCGAAGCACATTTCCCGTGGAAGTATCGATAGAAAAGTGAAAGGTCGCCGAACTTTCTACGGTGTTCCAATGATGTCAAAGAGTGAGTGAGTGTGGTTATGTTTGCGAACCTCTCAAACAGCTCGTATTCGCGAGCACTTCAAGACCTCGCTAGTGGCGATTGATGCGAATATCTCGAAGTTCTTGCCTGAGGGCATTGTATGAGAATTTTCACCTGTGATATCTTCAAGACCACGCTGAGCTTATCCTAGGCGGCGGGCATATTTGGAGGAGATATTGGCGACCTCTTGAAGTTGCAAAAGGCATCACAATGTCGTAGAAGGATATCTTCGAGATATATTCAGGACCTCTTCGTAGTGCCTGGGTTATGGTACACAAAACCATTTTCATGATAAATTAAGACATTTTATATAAGATTCAATGTTTTTCAGTATTATACCTGACAATACTCGATCGAAATAATCACGGCACACTCTGATGGAAAATAAATAATGAAATGTCACTTATATAGTATCATGCAGAATTCGAAAATGCAATGATATATAGGGTGTTTCATTTGAAAATCACAAGTTATTACCACTTCCGGTAAAACCGGTAGTGAAAAATAAAACCTGTTTTTGTCAAAAAGTGACGTTCATCAAGTTGATGAATCATTTCAAATTTCAATCACCTATCTCCAAACCTCAAGAAGAAAAAGGAGGTGTATCATGATCCTGTTTTACTCGGTATAGTAACTCCAAAATATCCGGGTTACACATCCCAGATAGCACAAGTACATCTCATGGATATACTATGGATATCCATCATGGATATTGTGGAATTTCCATAAGATATCCAAAAAGGCTCTGGTATATCCTATGGACGTCCATAAGATGTGACAGTGTAACCTTTTTGGATGTCTTGAAGATATTATCATTATGGATATCCATAAAATTGGGAAAAGCACTCACGTCTCACTGCGTTCGAATAATGTATAGTTGTCAGTTCTTATGCATCATCAATTTTGGACAAATTCGTAGGAATCACTATATAATTCACTTCAAATTAATAAAATATGAGAACAGATTGACATTATTTGACTATTCCCAGGTTGGTAGAATCGATGATCTATATATAATCATCAGTTCTACCAATCTTGGACTATTTGAGACGTTACGCCACCTCGCGCTGTTTTTGAAATCCGAATCAATAATAATAGCAGATAGTGCATCACAATGTGTGCTATCTTTTGGAAGACCCACGCACAAGTGTTACTTTTGTGGATCTCTTTTTATTTATCATTTCATTCATTGTATATACTTGATTTGAAGTTTCTAGGTATTGATCTTTTGTCTCTGTATCTGATGGATATCCTATGGACGTATTCAGGACGTTTGTTTCGGATATCTCAAGTTCATTGGTAATCGGATATCTTATGGATATACATTTTATGTCCACGGATATCCCGCCTTGAATAGGACTTGAAATGGATATCCATAAGATATCCTGTGTTAACTGAAACCGATAACTCGTTCCATAATAATTCTACCGCGAAACGGGAGGGTTATTTTGTTAATATCACACGCAGTCGGAATATTTTAACTGTCAAAGTGTCACTCTTCGTGAGTATGCAACAAGTTATCGATGTATGACACGAATATTGGCCGATTGACTTTGCAATCCAATAGGATCACAACCTATTTGGTGTCTGAGTGCGGAAAGGCCTTGGAAAACCTGTCAAAATCAAGAAAACCCAGCCTCATGTGGGCCCCGGGGCACTCGGGGAATCCCGGAAACGAGGATAGGCAGACAGACTGGCCAAGATCGGTTCAGGACGGACCCCTGTCAAACCGAAACCAATCTTGGACATACCAAACAGTCTGGCAGTCTCACGTGG